AATAGGGGCCTAATATCGATGATAATACAGTACTGGTGTTTATTTCATGATTCGTCAGGTCAATATGTTGATGTTGAATTTCGAATAAAAAGGTACCGTATTTGTCTAGAAATCCTAGCATAGTTAGTTAGGGATCTTAATTTTCAGGGTCTGATATTTCGAGTGGGTGTGATATCTCGTAATCTTAGGTCTTAGGTGGTCTTAACTTAATTCGTAGGTCTGAGCTTTCGGTACACCCTCCCATTGAACTCATTTTGTGTCGCCAATAGCCCGGAGTAGTATCACGTCGTGGTATCGTGACTTAACACTGTAGTAAGTAGTTGTTTGTAATTGTACGGCGAATTAGGCCCCATAAAAATTATTAGTTTATCACCCTATCAAAGAATAAAAACTGATGAGAGAGAATGGAATCAAAATTTATATTTTAAAAATATGTATTTGTTGTACCAGCAACATATTTGCAAGAAATCCTGAGCTTTTCAAGTGAAAAAAGATGGAAAAGGACCGTTTGAAATAAAAATGTTGATTGAAAAAAAAATCAAAAAAAAAAATCAGAATTTCCCCAAAATTGATGAGGGAGAGGGGGTGATAAACTAATAACTTTTTTAAGCTTTTTAATAGCTGGGCCTTAGAGATTGGGGTCCTACAGTACCTAGTTAAAAACTGCTTTGATTGGCAAGAAGGTGTGGCGGACGGTTTATCTGGAACGTGTGAGAGTTAGTCTTGAATTTTTTATCCCGGAAAATGTGGTCCTTTGGTAATATAGGGAAGGAGATGCGTATGCACACATCACCATCCCCTTCCCCCACCCCTATGTCGGATACCCTTTTGAAGTGACAGTGCCGGGAACCAGGGGGATTATTTTATCCGATCCTTGTCTTTTCTGAATGTTGGTGACCTTTCACCTGTTTTATAGCTCGAACGCCACGTTAGCGTTCTCTGGACTCCGGCAGTCTGTTAATTGTACAGCCACGAAAATGAGCTTTTTCAGTATATTTGGAAGTAACCAAGAGCCTGGAGCGAAACCATCAGGAGCAGAGACGGTAAGGGCAATCTAACTTCATAAAATGTTGTTGATTTTGTAGCTTGGTGTAGACCTGGTGCCGAGTGAGATTCAGAAAGTGAGTAAGGCCTAGCTAGGCTAGGCCTCTGTAGGCCTGCTACTAGCATCTGTGAAGCCCATCCCACTGGCTGGTAGCCGATCATTTCGGTAGCGCTTCGTTTCGGTCGCGCCTCATTTCGGTCGCGGTTTATTTCGAACAAATATAGGCCTAGCGCCGAAGGAGTTGCGAAAACGCAAAATTTAATATGCCTAGGCCCTATATAATTATAGTTAATTCGTCAATCGGTTTATCATAGATAGGCCTAAGTATTTTTTTTTATTTCCGTTTTGCTATCTTTCTACCTAACATATTTTCTTTCTTCCATGGAGTTTAGTATGTGCTTCATGCTATTCTTTTTGTTGCATTTTCATACTATATTATAATTTAATAATTATGGTCAATAAAATGTATCTTTGATTTTAATTGAATGAATTGAATGTTGTTACCATCTGAAATCTATTTCATAATTTAGTTTAATAAAACAATAATCATTACATTATTTAATCCGATGTTTCTAAAAATTGCAGATTCCAGAATTTGGATAAACATACCATGAGAATTGAGGGAAACACAACTAAAGAAATAATACACACATTATCATTCTTCACTTGAATTCTTTTTCTTTGATGTCCCTGTGCAGTTCATAAATATGAATATATATATTTATATGATTTTATATAAGCATAAATGATATACCTAGAAACAACTCTATATATATATACATATAGTTTAGTTTTGGCCTTCCTGTTTACTTGTTTAGACTGTTTATTCTAATCCCACCTAGCCTAGCCTATTGTTTCTAATCATGCTTGCATGAAATTCTGTCTTTATACTATCTGGCTTAGACAGGGTTTATGGTTCGGGCGAACCCCCTTTTCTAGCAAACCCCCCTGTTTTCTAGCGAACCCCCTCAAATTTTTGAATGAGTCCCACTCGGACGGAATGACTGTTTTTAACTTACCCAGCATTAAATCAACATTTAGCACCTAATTCATTATTTGGTCACCCGTTTTTAAATTCTAGCCTGTGATACAAGCCTTCATTCATAGAATATCTCAGCTTCAGAAGTTCGGAGATTTAAATTGAACGCAACTCCGGCAAATTATTAATTTACGATGGCTCACATATAAGGATGGCAAACATCGATGAAAACCCGACTCCCGTCTCAAATTTGACTGGCCTTTGCCTGAATGTTTGTAAGAAGTGTACTTACAGTAATCCACCAAATGCAGCTAAAGTTTTGCGACTTAATCACCTGATTCTGGACTGTGTGGTTAGTAAATTCCATAGCCATACTGTCCACAGCGCACACTAACCTATTTGCTGATGGAGCATTTTGGGAA